CTGGAATCACTAGATAACTCTTTGAAAGCTAATTCTGTTTCCAATGACTTTAACATAGAGGCATGAGTACATAATTATTTTTTTAAAATGTGACGAAGCATTAATGATGTAGAGTTTTCAAAAGATGATCGCAACACCATATGAATTCGACAAGGATTTTGGAGAACTCCAGGATTCCTCACTGTGCCTAATCTTCATCTAATAAAGCCACAGCAGCTCCCATTTTGTTACTGTTTTCTTTTGCCAAGGCTGTTTCTAGCACTTATTGCCATAAAACTGAAAAGTCGTAGTCAAACAGATATCAACGATAACAAGCCCATCGCTGCATCAGAACTACTCCATAATATCACAGTCAAGTCAAACACCACCCGTCTTGTAGAAGCTTGCTTTGGAATTGAATGAAACATTATCTTTCACTTGTAAAATTTGTATTTATCTCAGGTGTTTGAGGAAACAGGCATTAAGTTCAAGAGAACGGTGGTGAGGGCAACAAAGATGACTTTATAAAGATACTTTATAGCCTCTGTAAAATAATTCAATTTCCATGGCAAAAAAAAAAAAAGGCACATGAAAAAGTTTGTTTGTGTATATGTGTGTGTGTGTGTTTGTGTTTTGTGTCCTCTTCCGAGGAGAAAGTATAAATCTTCAGATTCTCAGAGTCTGTGATTTAAATAAGACTTAAATTCACTGTCCTTTCAGGGGTAAAACATTTTAAGGAATGAAATGAATGTTGAGAAGCAGTAAAATTCTTCATCTGAAAAATGAAGTAAACCATAAATTGCTTCTCTATTCATAAATTAATATAGACTTCTAAACCAGAAAGTATACAACTGCATTACAAATGGGCAATAACCCACTCTCATTTTTGAACAAACTTTTCTAAAATCAAAATTAAGAAATTTGGATAAAAGTATTTGCTTTGTTAGATACTGTTTTCAGTTTTCATATTATATGAAAAAATGTGTAGCTGTATTTACATAAACCAGTGGGATGAAGTTAATAAGGACAAAGGAGGAACTCAGATCTAGTGCTCTGAAATACAATATTGTTTGGAGAAGTATAGGAAATGCAGGTGGAAGTTACCTGTATTAGTTTCCTATTGCTGCTGTAACGTGTTACTGTAAACCTAGGTGCTTAGAAATCACAAATGATAGGTCAGAAGTCTGAAATGAGTCTCACTGGGCTAAAAGTCAAGATGTGGACAGGGCTGCATTTCTTGTTCAAGGCTCTAGGGGAGAATCCTTTTCCTTGCCATTTCTAGCTTCTAGAGACATTTTCATGGCTTCCCCCTTCCTCCATCTTCAAAGCCAGCAACAGCAGTTCCCACCCCCTACCAGTTAGTTTGTGTTTTACTGATATTGTGCACCCTGTACTTTCCCAGTGGTTACCAGCTGTTCATTCTTGGTTATTTCTTGGTCTTTAGGTCCTTCTCATACTTGATGAGCCTGCAGGGTTCAGGTACATGCTTTCTTGGGCTGCAGACCTAACAGCTTGTAATTCTTGCCCTTATAGACCATCCTGTGGTTCTCTGAGCCTGGTTAATGACAGTGAGAACAAGGGGGGTGGATTGAGGACCCTGTACCACCTGTCACACTGTCAATGTGCAGCTGGGAGAGCTCTACCTTTAGGTGGTCCAGCTGTCTCAGAAGCTCTTCCTTCTTGCCATGAAGGTCCTGAGGCTTGATCTTGGCCATGGCTTCACATGCAGCTGCCAGCTGCCAGCTGCCATCTGCTCTGATGGCCTCTCCACTTGCGATTACATTAGGCCCAATCAGACAAACCAGGACAATCTCCCTATTTTAAAGTAGGATGATTAGCACCCTTCATCCTATCTGCTGCCTTAATTCCTCTTTGTCATGTAACATGACATCTCCACAGGTTCCAGGGATTAAGTCATGGGCATTTTTGATGTTATTCTGCCTACTACACACTCCCTTAGTTGAAACTGTAGGAAAGGATTGGATGTGTAGGAAAATAGTGAAGAGAAGCAGAAACCTAGAAATCCTAGAAATAAACAGTCTCTAGCTGGGGTGAAAGGTATATTCCCTTACTGAATTACCCTAAAGACTTAAAGATCATGTCTGAGGTAACTTGCATCTGTACTTTGACAATCCCCCTTCTCCCAGAAAACCTAGTCATAAGGTAGGGTAAGGATGCCAAATTTGGACTCATAAAAGTTGAGTGTTAGGTCTGGCTCTTCCACTTGTCTATATCTTTTAGCAATTCACTTAAGTTTGGCTGGACCACAGTCTCCTCATTTTAAATTAAGGGGGCGGTTGAACTAGATTATTTCTTGGGTACCCTCCAGTTGTACTGTTGCTATGATTCTAGATGACGTAGATAGTGTTTCTGCGGACTCAAGGTGAGTGGACTATCAGCTCAATGGGTGTTTAAGCACCAATAGGTTCCCAAAGGAGAAATGTATCCTTCCCTGATTTTTAATCTTATTATTTGCTCTTCTCCCTTGCCTGTCCAACCATCCCTCACCCCGGATCAGAATAGATAAGCAAATGGGATATATTATACTGTGACTCTAAAATATACGTCAGTTTATACCCCTGGTATGAAATGTTCCTATAATCTTTGAAAGAATATGATTTGGGAGGCTAGTTTTCCTCATTTGTTTACTGTAGCATAGGTGGGTTCCAGTCTTGCAATAAATACATCTAAGGAACACAAGGACTGTTCTTGCTCTAGAGCATGGGTGGGTCTATGTGGTTTTGATAGGCAGAATTCTAAGACAGCTGCCAAGATTCATACCTTCCAGTAGATATATCATGATAGTCTCCCTCCCCTTGAATGCGGGAGTGGGTTTTGTAATATGATGGTGTATTAGTCTGTTCTCATGCTGCTAATAAAGACATATCCAAGACTGGGTAATTTATAAAGGAAAGAGGTTTAATTGACTCACAATTCCACATGACTGGGGAGGACTCACAATCATGGCATAAGGCAAGAAGGAGTAAAGTCACATCTTACACGGTGGCAGGCAAGAACAAGTGTGTGCAGGGGAACACCCCTTTATAAACTATCAGATCTCATGAGACTTATTCACTATCATGAGAACAGCACAGGAAAGATCCACCCCATGACTCAATTACCTTCCACCAGGTCCCTCCCATGACACATGAGAAATATGGGAGCTACAATTCAAGACATTATTTGTGTAGGGACACAGCCAAATCATATCAGATGAAACATGTGGTCCCGTGACTAGTTTACGTTCTATGGCACAATTGCCTTTAAGAAAAAGAGATTCTCTTTGATGGGCCTGGCCTAATCAGGCGAGGCCTTAAAAGGAACTTGTCTCTTCCTGAAGAGATTTGAAGTATGGAGAGACTCAACCCAACAGGTTCTCCACTGATAGATTTAAAGATGGAGGAAGCCATGGAAAATGGCAACTAGTATCAGATAGCCACCAAGAAAACAAGGACCTCAGTCCTCCAACTATAAAAAACTGAATTCTATCAATACCCTGAATGAGTTTGGACATGAATTCTTCTCCAAAGCCTTCAGGTGAGAACTCAGTCTGACTGATACATTGAACATGACACCCTGAGCAGAGAACCCAACTGAGCTGTGCTGGACTTCTGATCTACTGAACCGAGAGCTAAAAGGTGAGTGTTGTTTTGAGCCTCTACATGGGTGGCAATTTGTTATGCAGCAATAGCAAACAAATAAATGAAAACAATGCTATTCCAGTTAAATGTGGCTTGAAAATTTTAAAAGGAAGTGTTTTCCTTGTGCCTCCTTCCTTCTTGCCTTTCTCCAAAGCCTTAATCTTTTTTTTTTAAATTAATTTATTATTATTATTATACTTTAAGTTGTAGGGTACATGTGCATAACGTGCAGGTTTGTTACATATGTATACTTGTGCCATGTTGGTGTGCTGCACCCATCAACTCGTCATTTACATCAGGCAAGAGAAAGAAATCAAGGGGATTCAGTTAGGAAAAGAAGTCGTCAAATTGTCCCTGTTTGCAGATGACATGATTGTATATTTAGAAAACCCCATTGTCTCAGCCCAAAATCTCCTTAAGCTGATAAGCAACTTCAGCAAAATCTCAGGATACAAAATTAATGTGCAAAAATCACAAGCATTCTTATACACCAGTAACAGACAAACAGAGAGCCAAATCAGGAATGAACTTCCATTCACAATTGCTTCAAAGAGAATAAAATACCTAGGAATCCAACTTACAAGGGATGTAAAGGACCTCTTCAAGGAGAACTACAAACCACTGCTCAGTGAAATCAAAGAGGACACAAACAAATGGAAGAACATACCATGCTCATGGATAGGAAGAATCAATATCGTGAAAATGGCCATACTGCCCAAGGTAATCTATAGATTCAATGCCATCCCCATCAAGCTACCAATGAGCTTCTTCACAGAATTGGAAAAAACTGCTTTAAAGTTCATATGGAACCAAAAAAGAGCCCGCATCTCCAAGACAATCCTAAGTCAAAAGAACAAAGCTGGAGGCATCACGCTACCTGACTTCAAACTATACTACAAGGCTACAGTAACCAAAACAGCATGGTACTGGTACCAAAACAGAGATATAGACCAATGGAACAGAACAGAGTCCTCAGAAATAATACCACACATCTACAGCCATCTGATCTTTGACAAACCTGAGAGAAACAAGAAATGGGGAAAGGATTCCCTATTTAATAAATGGTGCTGGGAAAATTGGCTAGCCATAAGTAGAAAGCTGAAACTGGATCCTTTCCTTACTCCTTATACGAAAATTAATTCAAGATGGATTAGAGACTTAAATGTTAGACCTAATACCATAAAAATTCTAGAGGAAAACCTAGGTAGTACCATTCAGGACATAGGCATGGGCAAAGACTTCATGTCTAAAACACCAAAAGCAACGGCAGCAAAAGCCAAAATTGACAAATGGGATCTCATTAAACTAAAGAGCTTCTGCACAGCAAAAGAAACTACCATCAGAGTGAACAGGCAACCTACAGAATGGGAGAAAATTTTTGCAATCTACTCATCTGACAAAGGGCTAATATCCAGAACCTACAAAGAACTCAAACAAATTTACAAGAAAAAAACCAAAGCCTTAATCTTTTTCCCCACTGTGCCGTTATTTCATTGAATATAACTAGAAAATGCCATTTTGTTGGATAAAAATATTCTCTCATATCACATCACATATCATTCCCCTAACCCCTCATAGTTCATTTGAGATGCCAGAGACGCCCAAATCTTGGGTATGTTTTATACATGTTTTAGGGCTGGAGAATCGAACCAGAAAACACAGATTTCAAGAATTAAAGCAAAGAATCTGTTTATTTTGAACTAATTCAGATATGTTTTATTTGTTACATTTAGTTCTCTTGAAACACAGTAACCTTGACATAATGGCTGAAGAAGAAGAAGCAATGTAAGCATAAATGGCTGAATATTTTAATATCTTTTATCAATAAACATAGAATGCCATGCATTTGAATCCATGCTTTTTCTGAGGAAAACCTGCATTTTATCTTCTGCTTCCTGATATCGCAGCTGGATCTTATTACAAGGGTAGGATGCACCATGGGAAGCATGCCTAAACTTTTTAAACTACAAAAGGAAAGCTGATCTTCATTAATTAGATGTCTAGATTATACAGACTGACCACTGTATTATTATCTATAACATGGTGAAAAACACTATTATATGGCTTGTTGATAGCTCCACCTAGGTAATTTAGCTAAGCCTTATTTGCTAAGATATTCTATTAACCACAAAGGCAGGATTTGGTGTCAGGTCAAAAAATCAGATCAAACTGTGACTTTGTGGTTGATGGTTCAGAGAATGCTCTACAACAAAGGGAATTGAGAACGCAGTATGATGTCTAACATTTAATTCAGGAAAAATGTCATCTCCAGCACGGCTTAACAGAGTGCTACTACATAATGCAGATAAGTGAAAATATTAACAAGTCAATGATTCATTACTAAGACTCACCATGTAAAACCCGTATTCTCTGCCTTTGTGAAAACCATGGAATTGGATTAAAAGAGAAGCCACCTAATTTTAGATTTAAGCAAATGTGAGCAATGGGTTTGAGAATGAAGGGTAAGTCTGTGGATCACAAACCCTCACCTGAATAATGATTAGCTCTTTTAATAATAAACAACATTATATGTATATTTTAAAGCTATAATCTGGAAGAACTTCAAAATCTGGGAATCCAGGTAAATCATGATTTAGCTTTTACCAACTTTAACCAAAGTCTTCCCTGGTGCTACAGTCAGTATGAAAGAAAAGCTATTACAAAGCTATTATGTTAATTACAATTTTGTCTGCTTCAGCTTCATATACCTGTGTCTTTGTCATGTATATAATTATGCAGAGGGAAAACACCCTCAGCTCAAATGAAATAAAAGATTTCAGTTTATGCCCACACGGACCTTGTCAAGTAGCCAATGACTTGCCCTTTCATTGTGAGTGACTAATATCAATGCTGGCTCTAAAGAAAGACACTTTTCATAATCGCCCAACAATCTGCTAAGTGAAAACATGTGGATAGGCTTAGGGAAAGCCTGCCAGGGGTCTTGGCGGAATGGAAAACAGGTGCTCTCATTCTGTGCCACGTAATACCCCATTTACCCCCAAGTCCAAAGGTTATAGGACTAATAGCTGCCTTGTGGTAATCAGGGAAAGCCAAGACACTGGCCCTGGTGAAACATCTGGGACATATTTTACATACTTCCAACATATGCTTCAGGTTCAATTAAAGTGAGGCTTTGGCACATTTATTAATCTTTTTTACTTTTATCCTATAAGAGGACCCACTGACCTGACCCTACTATTATACCATATGAGAAAACAGAAATAATGAGAGCTAGAGGTCAGTACCTGCTCGTATGGCAAAGAACACATTTGTTTTCTCATGAAATTCCATTACCCATGACTCTATACACAAACTTTAAATAAAGGAACCAACGAATTTTTCAAAGTAGGAAATTACCCTTCTTCCACTCAGACGCACTGATAGCCAAGACTTAACATTTACCGCTGTGAGAGCCAGTCGAGATGGAAGATGGAACCTTGCAGGATCCTTTCATATTTCCATTTCTTATAGGAAAAACTATATTTCAAGACATCCACAAGATTCTTCCCTCTATTATTCAAGCACTTAAAAGTCTATTGTAAATTATTACGTTTGAGATTTTATTCAGATATGATTTTTATGCTATCAATTGCATTATGAGTAAAAAAGAAAAACCTCCTTTATCGCTTGGATAAAAGGGTTGGATTTATGAAAATCAGCTCACAATCCTTTCACATGGAAAACACACTGCTTGTCGACATCCTGTACAGAAGAATACAGTTGAATTCACACTGTAATTTAAGCACTCACTTTCAATCAACTTTGGTAACTAGATCTGAAAATGTGTTAGAAGCAGGGTGTCAATTTCAGACTACCAAACACTAGATTACAATAGATGTTACTCCAGAGATTTGGTGGTGTTTCCCCCAGGCATGTTCCACTTGACATCTATGTTTTGGTGAGCTGGTTAACCAGGTGTGTCTACTTCCCATACTTAACATCCTCTGCATTAAAAATGGTCATAAAAAGGGGAGAGATTAGAAGTACAGAATATCAACAAACTGACTAAAAACATAGGTTGACTTCAAGCAGGGACATTAAGTACTAGACTTCACTAAGGGTTTCCATTTATTAACATTTCTGGGGAAACGCCTGCTGCTGGGATGGATCTTTATGGTGGCTTTAATAATAAAGCAGCAACAAGCAAGAGAAAATGGCCATAAATGGATGGCAGCTCAGTGTTTATCAGCAGAGAAATGATGATTCAGAGCTGGCATGTTGAGTTAAAATACAAGCACTCTACAGCTCTACAACTGACCTTAGCAATAAATCATATCATTTACTGCCAGAAGTGTATGCTCATGTTATTTAACATTAAAAACAAGCACATATGTGTTTTTGCAGGAAGGAGATTTTGTTAGTTTATGTTTGATGATGTTGCTAATGACTAAATGATGTACAGAAGAAAAATTTCACATAAAAACTGTTGATTTAAAAATGTTTGAAATAGTGTTAGAAGGGAGAAAGTGTGTGTGTGTGTGTGTGTGTGTGTGTGTGTGTGTGTGTGTGTGTCTGTTTTCCTTCAAGCATTGAATATTAGGAAAAAAATCATGTGGAGAGTTAAATAATCACTGAGTTTTTTTGACATTTCTCATGCATGCTTCCAACACACAAACTATTTTATTTTTGGAGACACAGCCTTCAGTGGCACACAAATTCTTACATTGGGATATAACTGTACATCTTTACTGGAATCAAAGGTCAAGGGCATAAATTAAAATATACTGTTTTCCTCCTTTCTTCAAAAAAAGAAAATTCACTGCTTTACCACAACATAAATCAGATTCTGGTGAAGGTCAAAAATCTGGTTTTACATGCCAAACAATGTGGAAATAACGAACGATTTTCTGTCCTCTGCCTCTAGATCTCAACCTAGGACTTTTTAGATTTTAGGTCTGGAAATGCCCAGAGATGATGATGTAACAGCATCACTATCCTTCTTGCCATAGAAAGTGGTAGTTCCAACCCCAGCCACTGCTGCAGTGGTGCAAGATCATTCTAATTCCTACCTCTTGTCCCCTCTCCCTAGGGGACAACCAATCCAAGCAGTCCCAGAAACTGGCTGTTATTTACGTGGTCACCATCCCCAAATCAACCAGCGATTGAATATAAGCCTCTCTGAATGGGCTTTCCTGATGGAGAAACCACGTGGCCATTCCAAACCTCAGCAAGGGCAATGAGCACTGGGGTTATTTAAATGTCCTCTGGAGCACTCTGCACATTCATGTCCTTTTGCTGAGCGATTGTTCAAAAATTACAGATGACAATATCCATGTTCAACTCATGCAGGCTATGTTTTCACTCCCCTGTTCCCCCAAAGCATGGCCCGATTTGTAATACTCAAGATAGGACAAATTTTTGCCCTTCAACAACAGTCGTCACTGCTGTTATCTTCATGAGAGCTATCAAGTTCCAGACAAGCTGAATTATTTTTTTTTGTTCCTGGCAGAAAAATATTTGACCCAGCTCTGGACAAAAGCGAAGAGGATTTATAGCCTTCTCTCCCTCTTTGCAACATGCAGTGGCATTGTTAGGATGATAAACAGCACTGTCCAATTTTCTGGACTCAAACACTTCAACTCCTTTTTTAACTGTCTGTGAAAACAGTGTCATGTCTACATTTCCCCATCCCCAGGTACCCAAGTGCTGGGAAAGATAATTACCTTGTCATCTTTGTCATCTTCTTCTTCCTCGTCCTCTAGCATGTCCTCCACTACCTGCAGACAGAAACAGAAGTCATTTTCTGTGCTCTTAAAGGAGAGAATTTTGTTCTGTCATTTTGAACCTTTTGGAAATGAAAACTTTATTAACATTTGAAACGGGCACACTGAGAAGGGATATTCAACCTAGAGATAGTGATTAGGAAAACGCTCTGCCTTTCATTGATTAAAACCAGGGAACCGAATCCCAGTTAGGGGAACTGGATTCATGTGAAATATTTTGTGACAACCTCAAGAATTTGAAATATGCATAAGGTAAACCAACATTAATTTGGAGGATGCTTTAAATCAGGAAATTTCCCTTCTACCGATTCTGCTGTCTGTATTAATCAGGTACTTGAAATTTAGAACTAGATAACTAGGCATGAAACAGCTCTGCTATTTCTAATTTACTTTTCACCAAATTCTACGATTAAAAAACCATGTCTGTTAATTGATTCATGCTGGTGGTCTATGGCATAAAACTAACAATATATTTTATGGCTCAAATTTTAATTCTTATGTATAAATGTCAAGTCTTGCCTCTCTTACTTTTTGATTTTGTGGATTACCCAAAACTCTCATTTTAATTCTCTGTGATTTTACACAAGATTATGAGAATGCATATTATAAAATGAAAATTAAAATATATAATTACATGTGTATAGTGTGTGTATAACCCACATAGTTGGATATGCATATATGTATTTTTAAATGGCTATTTAGCCTACCTCAGCAGAACGGAATAGTCATTTTGGATTTCCCAAATAACTTCCCTTTGCCTTGATCAACATATAACCATTCAGAATGAGACTTCACTCCATTTCAGGCTTTTTAAAATGGTTTTCCGCACTTCACAAACATACACATATGCACGCCACAGAAACCTACAGTTTAAAAAACCTTGGGAGAAGTGTTGTTATTCAAGTAAGACCCAACTTATTGTGTTTATGATATTTGATATGGTTTTTAAATTCCTTTTTTTTTCCTGATCCTATATCTCTGAATAGACTCAACAGGAGCATGGTTAACAAATACTTTAAAACTTTTCTCCCAAAGCTCATAACTTTAGAGGACAGAGACACCTAGCCCTCCTTTCCTGTGTGTGTGTGTGTGTGTTTTTAATACCAACAGGAATATTCTATGGGTGAACACTTTAATAACCAAGACTGTATTATGAAAAGTTACATAAACTGAGATAACATATCAGAACTCTCTTATTCCTAATAATTTTTCTCAAATATTCTAAAAGCATTAACTGATTTAAAAGCATAACACAAACACAAACCTCCAGGTCTCATGAACGAATATATAATGAAAGCATCTGACAACCTGTGAGACTGTTCCTAATTTAATGTCGTGCTTTCAATCTTCTGTTAATTGGTGGAATTTTGAGGTCTTTCATTTGGACATTCAGCATTTCAAAAGAATCACAGTAGTGCAATATGCAGTTTTGCATATCTGATGAGAGCTTACACTTACTTCGGAGACATATAAAGCAATGAAGCATCAACAAGAAAGATGGACTCTTGACAGTCTCTCTAACTATATCCAGCTACTCCATAGCATTCACCATAAACCCCTTTGTCCAAGGCACATAGTGCTAGGTAATGTGGGAATACACAGATAACCCACAAAACTTCCTCTTTACTCCTACCAGCCCTCAAATGGCTTATAATCCAGTAAAACTTAAACAGGGTTGATCAGATAAGCTTTCATGATTTCCTTACATTTAAAGTATTTGCATCACAAATACACACACAATAGTGACAGTATATAGTTGAAGTGATATATGCCAGGCTATTCAAATTGGGCTATTTGTGAGGGGTTTAAGATGGAAAAGAAGCTACATTGGTACATTGTGTTGCTTCAGAAGAATTCACCTAACCCTTGTAAGATTTTCTGAAATGATGATTATTTCGTACCTCTGAGAAAATTATCTTTTAGATTTAAATGAAGCAATTTTTTTTTTTTTTTTTGCTGAAATTACCCATGCAGATTCATATCAAATACAACAAGGAAAATGAGATGAACACTATACTTTTACTGCTGCTGTGAATAAACTCATTATTATAGCTACTTATAATTAAGAATGTAAAATACGCCTCTGCTCTGCAGTACTTACTATCACATTTCAGGTGCTATGACGGCAGAATGGTGGTGGGCTGTGCCTAGCAGATTGTCAGGTACATAATAGGTGTTCACAAAATATTTGTTGATTGGGTGAATAGTGAATGCATCATCTATTCTTCATATCATTTAACACACTTTGGGTAAAGTGCCTATCATGTGTCTCACAGAACTGACTTAGTTCACCTGGAAGGACTTATACCTAATCAATGATGCAGATTTATAAAAGCAAATATTCAAAATGCTTTCAAACATTTGCCTGAGAATAGAACCCATGAATATTTAACCATTAAGGTTGGAGAATCTCCACTATCTTCAAATTAATTTTCAAAAATTCAAGATAAGATTAAGCCATAAACAAGCCAGTAGCTTAATTTACACATTTTACAAATCAGCTGTGGATCTTCTGTTCAAGTATGACTCAAAGAGGTCTACAGAATCAGGCTCTTCATTTGCAAAACCCAAACTGTTCTTACCCTGCACAAGTGGGTAATTGGCTACGCACAATTGCTCCACAAATGTGCAGCCAGAACCACCCAATACAACCATTTGCTTTTACATTTGGCAGAGAAGTGTTGTGTTAGTGAGAGGCCTTTTTGCTGTGTTTTAGCGCTCTAGTGAGGGCCTTTCCCCTCCTCCACTGCGTTTTTAAAGTTACATCATAAACATCTACAAGTGAGGATTTATAATACAGATGGTTTCCTATTGATGCCTTTAAGCTGCTTCAGAACATATCCCATCGTTAACATTTTGCTCAGGTGAAGCTGAAGGTGCCTTAGAAAATGGAGATGATAATAGCACCTATCTCACAGTGTTAAGGAGGATCCAATGAGATAATGCATAAAAGTGCTTAATACAGTTCCTGTATCAAAGGAAATACTCAAAAATGTTAGCTATTAATAAAAATAAAATAGCATCAAGTTAATATTTTAAACATTAATTTTCAGAAATTAAATATTTTTTCCTGGACAAAATATTCTGTGCTCTTAATGACACACACAATTCTGATTCATGTTTTCACTGACTGTAAGCAACACATAGAGGGGTACAGGTAGAAGTGTGGATAAAGATTCCAAATTAAAATGATGATGCTTTCACAACTAATTTTCAGGCTTTACTGGTCCAGTGAAACGGATGCCTTTGAGGACAGGAGTGTCTCAGAAGCTGAGCTGAGCTTCAAGGCAAGAGCTCTAACCAAATGCAATGCACATCGAAACTGCAAACTGAGCTTTTAAAAACAAACTGTGTATATCACCGAAGTGCATTCAATGACTGCACAAAATTGCAACCCTTCCCAGAGAAATCAAATAACACCTGCTATTTAGGATGAGCGTGCTGGGGTTTAACACTTAACTAAGGAAAACAAAAGAAAGGAGTATCAAATTCTAGTCTTTCCTCTTCAAATAAAACCAAATAAGCACTACATCGTTTTGTTTTCAAGTATACAAAGTCCAGTTGCCCAAACACTTGTCAGCAATAATTTAAGTAACAACATATACTATATGCAGGATTTCCTTGAAGGGGAAAAAATGAAGAGTGACGGAAAATCATGTAGTAGAAAAGATACATTTACAAAGTTCAGTTTTTTCTCTTTTTTCTTAAGGGGAATCTCAGATCGGCTCTAGAATTCTCTTTCCAAATTATGCTTTCTGATACCTTGCTTGAAAGCAAGTAGTATTAATCAAACAAAGGAAGGGCACTAGGGAAATCAGAAAGATGTAATGCAAGCAGTTAAAAGTGACATGACCTTCTGTAATGTCGCTCGTCACAGACTTATATGCCACACACTCAACGAAGGTCTTGAAAGAAACTGATTCTTGGTACTATTCCTTGAATGTAATACTAATAAAGATGACATTTAAAAAAACACACAGACAACCCCAAATGCAGCAAGCCAGCTACATTGCAGCCAGAGAATAGATAACATTATTTTAAAAGCATATTTCTTTCTCCATATTCAATATTTGCTGAACATCTGTCGTTAACATAAAATATAATATGTGGCTATACATTTTAAAAATACATTTCCAAAGTTAAACAAAATTGTATCTATAGACCATATATTTTGTGGTTTTAGAGGAGCTCTTGTACTATTACAAGACTTTTAATTGTAATCCAACACAACAAAACACTTCATGATTTGCAAGGAAAATGTTATTTGACTGGAAATGTTAATAGTGATGTTGATAATCTGAATAAAAATGTGACATGTTTGGTATTATTGTACTAGAACAAAAATGTATAAGGGAGGTGACCAGAAGGATGCAGTAACAAAAAGACCAATGAGGAAAGGATGAGGGAAAGTGGGTTCAGGTAAACTTCATTATTAAAATCATTATGGGACAGTGACTACTAATTGTTGCTTTTTAACACCAATTTAAGGTGAATGTTTAAAACTAATATGAAAAGAGGGGGTTAAAAGGCCCATGAATTATTTTTTAAACACTTCATATTATAATTTTTCCATGAGTAAATTATTCCACTTATTTAAATCCCTTCGAACAAAAAGGAACCAAAAAAAATCTTGGTTATGTTAACCTTGGAAGGACTGAGTACTCTGCAACAAAACCTTTCAAAAGCCAGTGCTGATACAAACCAGTTTCTTTTGTGTGTTTGCTTCTTTTCCTTGGAATTAAATGGATGTTTTACTATGTTCAAAATGAATAGTTGCACAACTCAAATTGCTTTACTCAAATATGGTCTATAAAAATGCAACACATTTACACATTTAAAGAAGAAATCGCTGCTGTCCAGATGTGCAACCATGTTAAAATATTAAAGAAAACTGACACAAAGAAAGAAGTTTCATATTTAGTTTCACATTCAGAGATGATCCAAACTGGTACAGATGCTTATATTTGGATACATTACAAACTAAATGCCTATTT